TATGGTTAGCTGAAAACCTGCCAGCTGAGTTTATTTCTCCTGGACACGCGCAAAGCAACAGAAGTCATATTTCGCCGTCACGTGAGGCCTTTCATCAGTGACCCCAGTGACAAGTATAGAGCTGTAGCAATAACATTTATTCATGAACATCATGCCTTGTAATATCTCTGTGTAGAGAATGAGACCTTTGCGAAACCTTATCAGGGGAAGAGATGTGACATTTGATATTCAGTCATCTGCCAAAGTCCAAGCCAAATAAAGCTTGAATAAAGGATCGCGGCGGGCCCCGAGATGGCCTCGCTGCCATATCTTTAGACGGAAGCATTTCTGAACATGTCCTCTCATTTGATAGGTGCATCATTCGAACGCTTGTCTTCCCCAGCATCTCCCAGAGTGCGCGTGAAGCAATCTAAAACCAGCCGCTGCAATATGTTCCAGGTGAGCTCCGGGGAGTACCTGTGCTAGGCTGAGCCAGGAAAAGCAGCTTTATTTCGCAGTCAATTAAAGGGATACTCAGAGACCAAATGAAGTGAGCTTCTTAGTCTCCAGCTGTTTTCCACCCTAGTGGAATCCAGAGGCATCTCAATAGTGAAGAGAGTTAACAAGCTCTGGCCCAATCGAGCATAAGATTCAGTGTTAGAGAGGGGAATCAGTCTCTGACAGAACCACAGGGTTTCAGTTATTGACTTCAGCAAGAGTTCATTCCTTATGATTATAAAATAAGGCCAAAGGCAAACTGAAGGCCAAGTTGGAGAGAATGAGGACAGTAAGAGTCTAACAATAAAAAAGTAAGATTCTTTTTTTTTTTCGTTTTGAATACCATAATGCGATTCTATTTTCCAGATCAAATAGCCTTTATACTAGATGAAGGAGCACTCTCGTAAGCACCGTAGGCTGCACTGTACAGTAGTGGTCACAAAAACAAATAAGAAGTTTTACAGTTGCTCGAGATGCATATTTTTTGCATCATCACATACTGGACTTATTTCTCTCCACTCAGATTTACATGCGTCACTGCTGCTTCTTCTATATATATATATATATATATATATATATATATATAATATGTATATTATGTATAATATGTATATACATATCGCTGTTGCCATTTTTGCCCCCGTTACATTATGTGTAAATTATAAATTATAATTTTCATGATAAATGGACCAAAAGAAATGGCCCAAAATTATTTGGAAAAAGGTCTGGTTCCACTGACTTACATTAAAGGTAAAGTGTGTTTTTACCTGTCCTGTAAAGTTAATATTTTGGAGATATGGATTTGGATCTTTTATTGGACTCTACTGAGGTTTAATTCTTTAAACGACATTGAATGAAGTTGAATGACATAAATGGTTCAAATGATTCAGTATGAGCATCACTACTGGACAGTTTTTCTACACATAAAAACAAATATAACATTTGTTGCTGCATTATTTTTTTTCTAAAACTCCAAGTACATAAATTAATTTGACATAAGCCCAATAGTGGTCCCATCTATAAATATGATTAGCTTAATAAAATTCCATTATCGTACAAACAAAATCTAATCTAAAACCGCACATTTTAAATGATCAGTAACATCACAACGATGTGTCCTAATTGACTCCTTCATAAACTGAAATGATTAAATGTCGTTTTCAAATGGAGCATTCGCCGGGGAATATTCTGTCCCCCATCCTACCTAAATAAGGTCCAGTAAAAGAAGCTTTTCTTCTATCACACAGAGTCTATGCATAATGTGCTACGAAGAGTTCCCCTTGAATGAACAGTGAGCTTCACTTAATAAGACTGCCTCAGGCTCCTAAGCCACGTCAGTACCACTAAAGCAGAATGGGGAGAACAGCGAGAGAAGTACAAAGAGCTTGACTCTATAAGAGATCTTCAAGAAAATAATTAAAGAGGCAACTCTCCGTCAACCCTTTGAAAAGGAGTGTTGGGCTTTCCGTGCACGCTAACGCACTTTGCATGATCTGCCTACACGACGTCTCCTATGGCAGTGGCAATACGTATAGCTGGATTGGAGCTTTATTGGCAGTAAGGTGCTGTAGGTAATGCTGGGTGTGTTGAAATGAGTCCTGCGGACCAGCAGGGAGTGCTTGCTCTGAATAATCCAAACAGACAGTGATGTCACGGCAGATCCAGTCTTGGAGGTTGAATAGGTTTATCTGCATGGGGGGAGAGGGGGAAAGTACTGCGTTCCACAGCTGAAGAACAATGCAGAGTGAATTATTCGTGTATGCATGCATGATTCAGGACCTGTGAGGATGTTGTGTTTGTGTGTGTCAGTATGAGTGTACTGTACAGTCTATGCTGAATGTGTGCCGTGATTATTTGAAACGGGCAGCTCATTAAATATTCCCACTGGTTGAGTGGACCCTACAATAGGCCATGGGACATCTACTCGCTAGAGAGAAATATAATGAAGCACACATCATAGGAGGGTAATAGAACAATTACTGGCTTAACCTGACCCACTAATCAGAGTACATGTTGCACTGTACTCAGTGGGAGGTCACACCACAGAACGTATTCCACACAGGCTTCTTTGTGCGGTTACACTAACACTGTAGTGTGCAAGTGTTCCGTCTTTCAGTGAGGTGCTATGATTGGAAAATAACATAAATTCTTAATAGTGTGGTAAACAGTAAATTATTAAGCTGCTATTAAGCTCATCTTAAATCAGCTTCCATGTGAGTGAGTCTTGAAAGACAGCAACAACTTCTCTCTCTCTAACTCTCTCTTACACACAAACTCTTTCTGTGCAATAATATTATGAAGATGATGAAACTCAATCACTAAACTTCCTTTCATTTGGTATGTCTTTCATCCATGTTCTGGCTTTTACTCTTGTGTCAAGACTAAGTTTTACAACACAGCACTAACAGAAGGTCTTCTCTCTATTGGCAGAGGAGAGTGGCATATGGTATGGTGTGTGTCACCGGCGATAAGCACTCCGTCCACTTGTAGGAGAGTAACTGGCTAGTTTGGTTCTGTCTGATATGGAGCCAATTACCTGAAGCCTCTAAAAATAGTTGTTCTTGGTCCGGTTTGACCCTGTGGGTTGCATCTCTGGAATAATGCAATGAAATGACAAAGGTACAAAGACTAGCCACAAACAAGCAACATGTACAGTACAATATGCACATTGTTTTGCCTTAAATACGTTAATAAATAAACCCAATTATAGTTTGTAAAGTAAAATTATGTGTAGTAAACATGCACAAATGCTTTACAGCATTCAGTGACTTTCAAAACCCCAGCATTTATAAGTTGGCTGTTTTCACTATTAAAGCTTAAAGTCAAATGAACTACACTTAGTCTTAACACACTTTTAATATATGACCAAAAACTACGGATACACTGATATATGAGCTCTCTGCTAATGCCGATATCTGATATTTTTATGTACCTATCTGCTGATGCAGATACCAATCATGATACAGAAACATTTGAAAAAAATATAGAAACTGGGACTAAATCTACTACTACTCTTTAGAAGGTTCTTCAAGGGTTCTTTAGTGAAGGAAATGGTTCTATATAAAACTGTGAGTTCTTTTAATAAAGACAATGGTTCTATATAGAATCATTGTCTTTAATAAACAACCTTTGAAGAACCATCTTTTTTAAGAGTGTGCTTCAATGGTTCTTTACATGGTGAAATTGTTCTTCAGACAGGAGAATGTGTTATGTATGGTTCTATATAGCACCAAAAAGAATGCTCTATTGTTACAAGCTTGACATCGTAACAACAGAGGATTCTTTTTGGTGCTATATAGAACCATCTTCAAAAACACACAGAAAGCATGTACAACACATTCTCCATCAATCTGAAGAATTAATTCACCATGCAAAGAACGATTTAAGCATGACACCTCATAGTAACTGCCATGAAAAAGGGAAAAATACAGGTCAGTTGCGACACTGCCATGGTGAATTCTATTTCCTTTTACTCAGTGACTCTAGTCATCTAACTCTTTGTTGATCAAAGATAATCTTTGCTGCCTTTTCTGTTATTGGCCACCTGCCACCTGAAACGTCCCCAGAGATTAATATCTTATCATCCCTCTCCTGCTCTCAATACTCCTCTTCTCTGAATATCAAAACATGAAGCAATGCTGTCTTTTTAATAATGTCTAATGCTGCTGGGCAAGTTTCTTATATTTCACTCATCTCAACATACAAAAAGATACAGCTGTTGTGTTCAAGTTACTTTAAGCTTCAGTTACAGCTGGGCAATATGGCAAAAATGTAACATCACGATACTTTAAGAACTTTTCAATGTACACGATACAATATATATTTTGGAAAAGTGCCAGGGTTAACTATAAACACAATGATTTATATTCAACATTTCACACCATGCCCTGCACTTAATCCAATTACAGGACTAACAATGCACTCTTTGCAATTGTAGTTGGGATGTGTTTTAAGTACTGATGATATCCACGATATGCCCAGATCTAAGTTTAGTACTTCTTCCATACTTTCAGCATCGAAAATTTGTGAGAAAATGAGGGCAGGGCTCCCTTAAAATCACTTTTAGACCAGTTGAGGGACATGGCTACGCTTCGTCAAAATGACCGTTAAATCACGAGAAACGCCTCAGGTTACTGTACATCTACTGTAAGGGGCAGCTACTGTACAAGTGCCCCAAACTGCCTCCTGAAAATAACTACACACCCACTGATGATAACAAGGAAAAATGACAGAATATTTAGAGTGTACCCTGTTTTTTTCCTGGTTATTTGGCTTTTATGCTCTTTTTTCCTGGTTATTTGGCTTCTACAGGCGGTCTGAAGGACATACCGTCTGAGAAGAAGAGTGTTTGTCCACCTCTCTTCGCCTCGCTCGCCTCGTAATCTACAGAGCATGTGCGCGCGCGCGAGTGAGCTGTGGCGCGAAGCCATCCAACTGCCCGCTCGAGCTCCCTCACTCAGCCAGCGGTGAGCTGCGCTGAGGCGGCCGCGCTGTGCTGTGCTGTGCTGTGAGAGGTGACCTACCTGCGTTCCTCAGCTTCTTATTCCTGTACACGGAGAAAATCACCAGCAGGTTGCCCAGTATGTCGACAATGATGGTGAATATCAGGACGCTCCCCAAAGTTGTAGAAACCCACGGAGGACGCGTGAGGGTGAGCTCAGAGGGGGCCAGCGAAGCAGAAGTGTTCGTTAAGCGGCTGCCATTTATTTTCATTTTATCCTCACTTTCTCAGTCCTCGGAGTCAGTCACAGGTTTGGGCTCCATTGGGCGGCTGCTGCACTTTGGCGAGGAGGTGAACTTCTCTGCCTTCATTGTCGGAGTCCTCGGCCGACTGGACGTGGAGGGCTGAGCGCGGACATATGTGGCCACACTTTTATAGCTTTGTACCTACATCAGGTTTTGGTGGTGTGTGTGATATTCAACGGGCAAGTTAAGTTCTTCTCTAAACGCCATGACTCCTGACTCTGCGGGAACACCGCCTCTCAGCGGAGGAGAGCGGAACTGCACGCGGCGCTGATGGATTTTTTCCCCCCGAGTTGAACCTCATTCATATACATTAACGTACGACCGTTTATGCACGTGTTCATTCATTTTTGGGGTCATTCATGATTTATTTAAAGGGGAATTCCACCATTTTTTTCAATTTCCGAATAATTCGGTACTTGAGATGTAATCAGAGTCATTCATGGTGGTTTGATATGAAATGGTTAATTGTAAAGAAACTTACCAACTTAGATTTCTTTACAGTGGTGGTGATAGGAACCAGGGGTCACCATGTCTACAACACAAATATAGGCTTATATATATATATATGGTAAAATAGACCTACATCTGAGAAAATATGCTTTCTTTGGGCACTATTTTGTCTATTCTCTACCATGAATGGATTAAAATAAATGGAATAAAATACATTTTAAGCCAAAACTTATCATAAAACAATGTGTTGTTCAGGCAGCATATATCAAATCACTTCATGTAATAACCTTCTGTGAGGGAGCTTTCAGAGGCATTAAACTCTAAAGATGTCTGGTTCCTGTCACCACCGCTATGAACAATTCTTCTCTAGAAAGGGGTGTTTCAAACAAAACCACTCTGAATGACTTTGTTTACATCTCATCTTTTTACCTATGTAGACTTTTTGAAAATTTGGTGGAATTCACCTTTAAGTCAAAATCATTTTATTCATACATTTATTTGAGAAATCGCTATAAGCGTGTTTCTCCACATTACCTGTGATTTTATAATGTTAGCTTGTCATGCTACATAGTAACCATTAGCTTGAGCAAACAGTGAATTCATGAGAACAGACAGAGAATCTCTAATAAAGATATGTTAGAATGTTTTATTACTATTTTGCATACATTGTGTGCAAATATTTTACTGAACTTTTCTACTTTGACTTATGTTTCATATTTCTTTCAATACTTTCAAAAACTTGCTTCCAGGCAGAAGGTTTATTTCCTCTGAACTCTGCTGCATTCTGGCTGTCAGGCGTTCATGAAGTGACCTATGGAAATGACAGACAAGACAAGCAAACATGATCAAGACAATAAAATCATCAATCATCCACTGTCACATCCATTTAGTATATTAGCCCCATTCAGTGCATTAGCCTCAATTTTAAACTGGATAATAATGTTGCTGCTTGGATGTGTTCCATTTCATTAACACCTGTTTAGTTATATAACTTTTCATCTCCAGCATTCTTCGCTTGACATTGCAGTTGCATGCCTAATGCTGTGTGCGTGTATGTGTGTGTGTAGGTGTGTATGCACACGTGCACATGTTTACAGTTGGAACTCCTTTAACCTTTCAAAAGACCTTGATAGTAGGATGCACAGTCAAAACAGGTACAAGGCCTCTGGTATCGCTTACTCATACCAGAGAGACATTTTTTAGCAAGTAACTACTTAGAATCACAATGCAGGCTGTGAGAAATTGGACATGAACAGTATCTTTGTTATTTGGGTTCCCCAACACATTAAATTAGAAATTAACCAATGGCACAAGGTTAAAGTGCACTTTAATTTGAGGGTATTATGCATCACAGCTCTTTTTGATTTCACAAAACCAAATAAGTAATGGCACTGATTAGCATAATTCCATAAATTCTGTAATCCCTTGACATCACCAGACATTGAGATGTCAGATGTTCCCATGAAAATGGTCTTCCAAGTCTGTAATGCAGCCATTTTTAGTCTCTGCTTGAGGCCTATTGCCTTTGGTTATGACTCACTAAGTGAAATGCATGCTGAGAAGGGTTCACATTGGGTGACGGACTGGCACACCATCAAGAACATTACATTTTTTGGCCACAAAAAAACTCTTCTTAGTTTCTTTCTTAGTATGTTTTATGTCTTAAAGGTGAAACATCTTCACTCTTTCTTCATTCTCTCAGTCTGGTACAGTACTGTATCTCTCCCTAAACCTCTGCAAGTGTTTTATGCACTATCAAAGTTCCCATTTCTGTTCCTGAGTGTGTGGTTTTCATCTTGTGGTAAACCCTCAAAGGTCATGCTAGTGTGTTCCTCTTTGATACATCTGTTTGTATGTCCTGGATAGTGTTCTTGATCTGTTTAACAGTTTTTTGACATGACCCAGAGAGTTCTTTGGTCATCCGCTACTCCTGTTGTCTACCGAGTCATTTGCTATTGCTAAACATTACCAACAGTGCATTGCTTCTAAACAATGTACCAATTGATTTTGACATACCAAGTTGTTTTGATGTTTTGGCCATGTCTCTAACTAATTTAATCTGATTTTCCGGTTTCCCGATGGCCTGCTTTACTAACACTGACACTTGTGGTCTTCACAACATCAACAAAACACCAACAGAGTCCAGACATAAACGCCACATTTAGAATCAAGTCTAGAACTTTTTTTTAGCTGTCTTTTGCATAAATTAATGATGCAACATCAGAAAGCTGGCCAAGAAACAAGTGACCAGCCAACTATCCAATTACTTATCTTGAAACATTAGGGCTATGTATTAAAGAGTTTTGATTACTATATGGTTCTCCTAATATAGAGGTAAACAAACTTGAATTAAAATTGACATTCTGCTTTAACGTTGTAGTCATTGTTCGATTTTATATCAAATATACAGGATTACAGAGACAAAATGTCAAACAAATGTGCAACTGTCCAGTTATTTACAGACTGCAATGTATTTTATCGCCTCTTAGGCAGAGATGTGTACATCACACCACCAAATATGATCAGGTCTTTAAATGGTCCTCTAGACCATATAGTTGTCCTCTAGACCACATAGTTTGCACATGCTGTCAAATATATTTGTCATGCTGTAATATGGTCCAAATACTGTGGGCTTTAGCCCTGCATATACTTTTTTTGAATGAAGTACTTCCCCTGCAATAAGTATTTGAAGATGTCTTTCCTGCCTGTTTCTTACAAAATAGATAGCTTAAAAGGCAGCACAGCTTTTCTTTGAAACTTCACTTCAAACACTTCAGTGCTTTGAATTCTGAAGTGTCTTTATGACAATATGGCTGCAACATTTGTTAGCTTGGCATTTTTGAGTGTCTGTTATTATTGCAGGTCTGACTTGTGTGGGCGAATATGGAACACATTGACTTGCTCTTGTTTCGGCTGACCTCTGATTGATTTATACAGATTTTTCATCCCTGTGATTGCCTCTTTTACCAGCATTGATTATTCTTCGGTGCTCAAGACTCTAACTTGGCATTCATGAATATCCATACCAGTTGTCATCAGCCCAACTCCTAGAGATCAACCTTCCTTACGACTTCAACTCCAACCCTCATCAACCAAACCTGATTCATCTAATTATAGTCTACAGATGTCCTCGAAGTGTTGGATTTGCTGAAACCTGTAGAAAGGTAGATCTTCAGGAGTAGTGTTGGTGTTTTAATAGAATAATAATGGGTTGGTCGATTTAATAGAATAATCAGTTTTGGTACCCTTAAGAACTATGCTTGAAAAAGAGTTGTGAGAGTATGAAGAACCTTTTAAAGTTTTAAAGAACTTTCACATAATGCAAATGTGCAATATAAGGGCCAATGTTTCCCAACCCTGATCCTGGAGGTCCACATTTTAGTGTCTTCCCTGCTCCTAATTCACCTGATCCAACTAATCAGCTGAAAACATGCCGGAGAGTGGGTCTCCAGGACCAGGGTGGGGACTCTGCTTCAAACGTTAAGAAGGTTGTTTACACTCACACAACTCATTTACAAAGTAATTCTTCTGTGGCATCACACAAATACACCTTCTGGTACCTTTTCAAGAGTGTATTATTACTGCAAGCTTGAGTTGGGTGAGAGAATATTAAATACACAGACTTTTTCTTTTGAATCTTCTGCTTTTTTGGGGGTGCACAGCAAGGTTACTCAGTTTTTGCCCCAATAATGAAATACAGAAATGCCCAAAAAAGCCACTATAACCTTTTAAACCTGAGAAATGCTTTGTTTTTCCCACAATCTTCAATTCTTGTTTTGAGTTTGGTTGTTCTTAGATAAAGCTACAGTTTTTCCATTCATAGGCATACAGGTGCTTCTGTGAAAATGACTGTGTCACTTAACATTTGGCAGAGCAGCCCAAGATTTTCCATTTGATCCAGGAAAGCTTAAGGGCACTTGAAGAAGTTGTGTTAGAAATATAATCTTATCTGGATCAGAACAGATTAATGAGTTAGAGTTCAGGGAGACAACATAGTGAAGAAGAATTCGATACATTTTTGCATTAGCTAATTCATCAGGAATGCAGCCTGAAACACTTATTGACACTGGCCCTCACTCTGCTATCAGTGCTCACTAACATTGGGCTTCATTCCACCTTCCATATGCTGGTGCTGACTTCAAAGGACAGACCACAGAAGAACGTGTCTCATTAGCGCTGGGAGTTATTACATCCAATTAATTGTACCAAGTGACCAAAACAACATGTACACCATAAGCACAAACAGAAAAAGATACTGTATAATGATGCGTTTTTTTCTCTGAGTGGTTATGTAAGTCTGAAACAAGGACACGCTTGATCTCTTCAACGTGGTGTGTAAACATGAGCAACTGTGTGCTGCTTCACTAAGAAACAGTAGGCATCAGCTTTCATAAACCCATCTAACAAAAGCAGAGACATTCTCAGGATCGAACACAGCCTTGTTTTAATATGTGTGTGTGTGTGTGTGTGATAACAATCTTTTGAGCCTAACTGCAACTTGTGTAATCAGAAAGAAATGTTTTAGCCCTTTCTGTTTTAAAAGATAAAATGTGTAGAAAACGCTTTACAAAGTACAAAGCAACAACTAATTTCTTGGAACTGAAGTTATAGGTTATTCCTTTTTCCTGTGGTTTTCCTGCATTTTTGTAAAAATGCACAAAAATAAACACGCTCAAACATGCATGTGTATAACACAAGCAGAAGCTCCACCTTCCACCTTCACTCTAAGAAAAACGAAAGGACCTTTTTACATCATTCTTTTCATTGTAACCTCTGCTTATCAGCTACACGTGTCATTTGACAGACAAGACAAGATCACAACAATCCATTGTGTATATTTATGCTGTGAAACATCATACGCTTGCATGCCAGACTGTGGTTTATCACGTCATGTCGTTTCATAAAGTCAGTTTTAGACAGCCTGGCAT